GGGTTGTTTATATTTCACATCATTAATCAGAATCTGCAAAGTAACTAAAATAAATGTAGTGGAGTAAAAATACCAGGTTAACCTCTGAATTGTAGTGGAGTAGAATTGCTGTTTTGTTTAGTAATGGATATTGAATATGGAATAAAGGTTTTGACAAGACCTGGTGTAACAATAATCAAAAAGGACATTAAAAGAGCTCCAGATGTCAATGATCTAAACAAAACTGATGACACGACCGTCATCGGCCAGATCACAGACGATGACGAGACGGCGTACAGAGAGGAGGTCGAAAACCTGACATCTTGGTGCCAGGAGAACAACCTCCATCTCAACATCAGCAAAACAAAGGAGCTGATTGTGGATTACAGGAAGCAGCAGGGAGAGGGACACGCCCCCATCGCCATCAATGGGACTACGGTGGAGAGAGTCAGCAGCTTCAGGTTCCTTGGGGTCCACATCACTGAGGACCTGACATGGTCTCTTCACACCACCACCATCACCAAGAAAGCTCGACAGCGGCTTTTCTTCCTCCGCAGGTTGAGGAGGTTCAAAATGGATTCCAGGATACTCTGCAACTTCTACAGGTGCACGATAGAGAGTATCCTCACTGGCAGCATGACGGCCTGGTACGGCAGCTGCACCGACCTCGATCGTAAGGCTTTACAGAGGGTGGTGAAAACTGCACAGCACATCACCAGGACGGAGCTGCCATCCATGGAGGACCTTTACTCCCAGCGGCTCAGGAAGAAATCACTACGGATTATCAAAGACCCCCATCACCCCAGCCACAAACTGTTCTTTCTGTTGCCGTCTGGCAGACGTTACCGCAGCATCCTGGCAAGGACAAGAAGATTCGGAGACAGTTTCTTCCCGCGGGCAGTGAGACTGTTAAAAAAATTGAACTGTTGAAACAACTTCAAACATTCAACTGCTACTCAGTAGTATGTATCTAATACCTAATATATATATATCATTCCAATAACTTGTATAGACTCATACTGCACTATTCCACATCATAACTTTATTTCATTTTTATAACTATTATTATTTTTGTATTGCTCATGCTCTTATTGTTATTATGTTATGTTATTATGTTGCATTGTTGGAGAAGCCTGTGACATAAGATTTTCAACTGCATAATTACTCTGTAGCTATGTCAGATTGACAATAAAGAACCTTGAACCTTGAACCTTGAAAACAGCACACCTGAAATGTATATTTAAATACTTTATTAAGGGCAGTGAATTAGTTTTTTCTGTATGTTTTTCAAATCAGTGTTATACAGTAAGTGTCATAGACAGTGTTACATTGCTATTATTATCCTTAAAATATATGCAAAACAAAACCACTTATGATCATTTTATTTGAGTGGTTTACTAATGACAGTTAATTCTGTTTTTACTATTGATGGTTTCATTTTTGTGAAAAATAATAAAATAATAAAATTCCATAACTTGCTTTAACCAGTAGATGTCCCTTTCTATCAGCTGTGCACCGTTATGGTGTAAATACAGCCTATCTACCAATTGGATCAAATATAAAAGTCAGCCGAATTAGTATTGATACTGCAAGGAGACGTATTGTGTGAAAAGAAATGGAAGATGTTGTTTAATTGCTTATATATTTAAGATCCACGTCAAGTTTTCAGTTTTGGCGGCAGTTCCTGTTTGTCTAGAAGTCTTCTCATCAGGGCTCTATAAATAGAGAACTACGGCAGATATGTAATATTTAATGCAGCCAAACCGTGTATTACAATGACATTATGTGATGACTTTCAAAGAGAAAAGCAAGCACACTCGGAATAAAGTATTATTTTATTTCTTTTAAATGTTTTCGGATTTCACATCGCATAAACACCATTTCCCAACGTGCATTGCGGCTAAACCATCGAATCACCGAGCTGAGGACTTTGCCTATGTCTGTTTCCGGTATTTTTTATGACGGATGTATTTTGTTATACACACATTCCTTCACATTTAAATTTAAATTTACATTAAAGTATTTCGTGAGGCCTTCTAAAATGTTTTTAAATATAACTACGGTTCTAGTTGAAGAGTTTGTAAATTAACATGAACCGAAGCTGTTGCCTGGCAACGCAATCGCACAACATCACGTCCATTAATTCCACATCCACACACATGGATTAACATCGATTTAATACATTAAAGGTGGGGTAGGTAATTTTGGAGAAACCAGCTCGAGTGTGCTAGAATTTGAAAATACACAGCCGGAAAAAATCTGCCACTTCCTTACAGAGCCCCTCCTCCAACACACACGAACGCGCACATGACCAATGAGGGCACGAGATAAGTTTGTGCACAGATGGAAGGCTGACAGGCAGGTAGGCCATCCAGTTATTTTAGCCGGGCCGGCTAAAATGATTGGTCGTGCTTTTTACAGTACTACAGCTTCCACAGATTAAATATTTGTATGGATTTTTTGTCAAAGCACTGAAGATATTCATTGCTATCGGGATGTTAAGAGCATTCCATGGAATATAACAAAAAGTGTATCTCGAGCCGGTTTCTCAAACTTACCTACCCCACCTTTAATGTAGCCTTTGTTTCTGCTAAAAGAGGTGTCGACCGAATTCATATGATGAATTGGAAATGGGGGACCCTGATGTAAACAAGACGGAAGTCTTTCTCTGGTCTGCATCCCCTTAACAATTGTATGTTTTGAGCTGTACTGTACTGTACCCAATATACAAGCTGTTAATAAACTTTTCAATCAATCAATTCAATCAATCAATCAATCTCCCAGCATGGTAAATTGTCACATGTTCACGTCTTGCCGTGATACCGGGTTGGATATGAGAGTTGAAATGTGTGACCTAATTAAGCTCAGATGCTGTGAAACAGAGAAAGGTCAACTATGATTTCAAACCTTGAGATACATCACCCTCATGTGGCCGGTAAACAGTGGTGGAAGAAGAACGAGAAAATAATACTCTAAAATTAAAATGTATCATTTTTATTCAAGAAATATTACAATACCATTATCAGCTAAATGTGCTAGAAGTACCAACAACGCTTATTAGGTGACATAAAGACCCTGTGTGAGTGTTATATTATGTTTTTTGTTTTGTTATTGTGTGCTAATAGTATAAATAGCATTGTAATGCTGCCAAGGATTTACATTGAAAATATTTCAATGTTGCCCACAAACAAAAGGCAAGTCCCTGCAAGTGACTGTATACTCATGGGCCCCACAACATCCCTAATACAGGTACACAAACTGATTTTAAATAAATGAAGCCACAGATTGAGTTACAACATTTTATTGACATTCTTGAGTTTAATTACATAAAAGCACATTTTGTTAAATCCTTTTGGTTCTGACATGTTTTTGAACTAAGTTTAAATATTTTTTCACTTTTAGTTAAATGCATGGAAGCCACCGTGACACAACTTGAAGATAAATGAAAAACACTAATATTTTGATCAGTTTACTAAATATTTTAAAAGGTATTTTAGATAATGAAGCGTGAACCTGCCTGAACTCTTATTCAGAGTTTTGCAAATGTCTCTTTCATATACAGTTATCACATGTGAGCAAGAGTTAACTGCAGCCACTACAAAGTCCTCTTAGGCACTGATAAACAAACATGTCTATAGTCATATTATGCTAATACAAGGCATTACATGAATCATTCAAGAGGATACATTATGCATTGCTGTGTGTCTTCATTATGAAATCAATGTATTTTAATGTACAAGGCATGATAAATAAACCGAATGAAATTTCTATTAAGATAGACACTCAAAACTCTCTTTTAGATCCTTTATTAAACAAGAGATGCACATTACACACTCAATGTGAACACAACAGTCTTTTATTATGGGACATTATTGATCATAGATGTTTGTCTTTACACATTAATTTGTGTTCCAACCTTTTCATATTTAATTACAAAATTCATTACATATATAGATTTTAACCTTTTATTTTACAAAAGCCAACATGGCCATGACGCCTTCAGTAATTGTGGAAAGCCAAAGAAAGCTTAATCAAGAGCTTTTTATCCGTATAACAATTTAAAAGCATATTTTCTGTTATGTTTAATTGTTTTTGGTTCTTTGGTGCATGCTCTCTCTCCCCCCTCCCTTCTCTCTTCTCCTTCTCTGCACGGCTTGTATGTGGCATTCTCCTCCTGGCTGCAGACGAGGCACACCTCTTCCCAATCACCCAACCAACCTGCTCCATAAAAATCCAGTCCTCACTCCACTTGTCTGCCAGATAATTCCATGTAGTTAGATGAACCAACGTGCCTCTCTGCAGCCGAGATCCATGATTTCCCGATATCCAGTGTTCTTGTGCGAACTCCAGTGTTTTGTTGCTCTCTGCTGCCCAGCTAGCTTCCTAGCTATCACTGCCTGCCTTTTTGTTTGCATTTTTCTTAAACACCTTGAAAACTTTACCTGAATCAGTCTCTGCTTTGGGGTCCTTTAAATAACAGAGCGTCACATTTTCATCATATTAATTCATGATATATATTTTTACATATATATATTTATTTTTCTTTGTAAAAGCAATAGCAATCAAAGAGCAAATCAGAGATATTGGTTCTAGACAATTTTGTTTAGTATTTGGTCACAACAAATAATCATTGAAATAACTGATATAACTATAAATAACATCAAACAAATAAATCCAAAAGGGGACAGTTGAATTACACAATTCATTACAAAAGCCAACATTACGCCTTCAGTTATTGTGGAATACAAATAAAACTTATCCGTATACCATTTTAAAAGCATTAATTCATGATGTATATATTTTTCTTTTTTCTTGTAAAAGCAAAAGCAATCAAAGAACAAATGAGTTTACATTACATTAATATAGTTTAAAATGTTAACATCTTGGTTCTTGACGATTTGTCACCCTGTTGATATTTAATTGTAACTCACCACTGAAATAACTGACATTACTATAAATCACATCAAACAACAAAATCAAAAAGGTGACTGTGAAGATTTACAAGGAGATATTGTAGAGGGTCAGACTGTATCATGGAAACCTGCGCAGCAAAACAAAACAAAGAAGTTACCATTTTCCAACCTTCTCTCGCAACGGTCCAAATTATGTCAATTATTTTAGTGCTGTCCTCAGCTTCCTTCCTGGCTTTCCTTGCCTCCTCTTCTCTTATTCTCCCCTTTTCCTCCTCCATTTCTCTTTTGTAAGCTTCTCTCAGCCTTGCCTCCTCTTCTCTTATTCTCCTCATCTCCTCCTCCATTTTTATTTCATGAGCTTCCATCTGCCTTGCTGACCTCTCCCTATCCTCTTTGATTTTCTTAAATTGTTCCTCATGCTTTTTATCTAATCTCTTTTCCATTTCCTCTTCCTTTTTGCGTATTTCCTCTTCTCTCTCTTTAAGGATTCTCTGTTTTTCCTCTTCTAGCTCCCTCTCTGCCTCCTGGAACATTTCATTGGTGTAATGGCTTCCTTCGTTCTTCTCTGTTATATTTCTGATCTTGTCGAGCAGCTCTCTGACCTGAGAACGATCCTTCACCTTATTATTGAAGACGTGGTACTGCCTGTTACATCTGTTCACAAGTTCCTGCAGCTCTTCACTTTCCTTTTGATAGGTTGGTCTTCGAGCAGATCACCGTGGGTAAAGAGGACCATGCTGTATCTGTCTGCTTGCTCTCCAAAGATTTCCTGAATCTTCTGAACTGTCTGCTTTTCTTCCTCTGTGAATCTGCCCAGTTTGATGACGACCAGGAAGATATGGGGTCCAGGAGAAGCATAAGAAATGCTCTGGCCAACATCTTTTCTGGTCTTCTTTTCATCAATCATGGTGTCAAACAGACCAGGAGTGTCAATAACCTTAACTCTTTGTCCATCAACTTCACCAAAGGCATTAGAACAGTTTACAGTCATGGATTTAAAAGAGAACTCTGATTTAAAGTACTCTTTTCCCAGAATGGTGTTTCCTGTGGCGCTCTTCCCAGCTCCGGTTTTCCCCACCATCACAATCTGGAGTACCTCGTTATTGTATGTGTTTGATTCTGATGGGAGGTCTGAAAAAAATGAAAAGATATTTGGCAATCTCGGTATTTATAAAATTGTTCAACTACCACCTTGAAGGGACCTTGTTTGTTGTTTTACCGGAGCAAGAGAGAGGCACCATGATGAAGACACATACTGGAAATTCAAACTAAATGGTAATCTCGTCTGGATGTTTGACTTCTTAACTGCCTGTGTACAACCTGAACTGACATGGTGCAGCAGTGGCCTCTAGCTGTACGTTTATTTTAATGAGAAAACCATTTTTACAAATAGTCACTACAACATGTTTAGTTTCTATCTTTCATACTTCTACAATTTAACCAATTTTGGGCCTAAAATCACTTTTAAGGGTATAAGTTGCCGTTAGTTATAATCAGGAGCCAAAACAAACTTCTGACTGGCTTGCCCTCAATATTTATATTATTCTTAATACGTTTCATGTAGTCTTGTGAAGAATGTAATGCAAGCAAGTAAAAGCAGTGTCGCATTCGTAAAATCACCCAGGCTCTTAAAATGCCTGGAATATAAGAAACATACATTTTGTATTAACTGTTTTGATCTGTTCATTATTAGGAAATATGTCAAGCTACCTATCCATCTATAAATACCTATTTAGATAAGTTGCAATCATCATCAACAATAAAGTTTATTCACTTACCATTTTGGGCATGTTTGCTGTCCATAGTTGGTGATGGAGGGAGGAGCTGGTCTGCTGCTGAGCTGAGGAAGTGAAGTTAGTCTGCAACAACACTTCCTTAAATACAGACTTCATGAAGCAAACCACACCCACACACACTGCTGACATCACAGTCTGAAGTTCAGCTACAGTGGGATGATTCTCAGATTAAAAAGTATACAATCCTTCCCTTAATAAACAGAACAAGGGGAAATACAGCCTCATGTGTTTAAACTTGTTTTAATTGAACAGACTACATATTTTAGATATAAATCCTCATTGCTCTTTAGATATCAACATTCACCCATTCGCACACATTCATACAGAGGCAGAGGCTGCCATGCAAGGTGCTCAGGGAGACTAACATTCACACACACTCACACACGTTGGCTATACCAATTTGTGGTTAAGTACTGTATCTTTCCCAAGGTCACATGGACATGTAGAGCTACATTTTATTTACAGTTTGATTACACCTTCAGCAGTCTGCAGCTCTCAAAGTGTTTTAAAAGAAACATGGAATAGTTGGCTTCAGCATTTGGCATAATAGTGATTTAATCTAATCTGGCTTCATATTAGTAAAAGCAACACGAGCATCAACCCGACGCAGTCCGCCATTGTTGTGGTTGTGAGTGGCTGGGAACACAACTGGGACTAAAAAGGAGAACCAGTTCAGAACCAGAAAAGCACGGAGAACTGGTTTGGTGGGAAGGGGCATGGATGTGTTTAATTTTCCATTTATTTCCCCGCTAGGTTTTCACATTCATGTGATATGATTTTATGAAACCTGCAGACTGTAGTTAGCACTTGAACTGTAGCTCTCATTCTCTGTTCATGACAGGATGTCATATTATGCTGCACTCACAAGCTTGGAAACTTTCAAAACCTTCAGCAGGGCTTTGATATAAACACATTATTCTTCAATTCCTTAGGAATTAAACTCACACTGTTGAATCCTCATATAAACTTTAACTCAAAGTTGTTTTGCTGTATTCAAGATTGTAGTGTACGGTGCAAGGGCTTTATTTTAAGTTCCGATTCACAGAATGGTGTTTCAAGTGGAGCTCTTCCCAGCTTCAGTCTCCCCCTCCATCACAATCCTGAGCACCTCATCATTGTATTTGATATCAGAAATTTCAATGCACAAACAGGATTTATTTTCAGACACTGACACACAGTCCAGATGAATGCGATTTTAGATGCTACTTTTATTTGAAAATGTATAGTTTGACTCCAGCTGCTTCAGCAGCTGTTGTGTGGGACTGATCCACACTGTTACAGCAGCCTGAACTTTGTCAAAGTGTTTTAAAAAAAAACATTGACAGGCTGATTCAGCATACAACATAATAGTGATTAAACTGACCATGTTCATTTATTTACTTACTTTTCTTTCCCCTGTAGGCTTTCACGTTCATGTGATATGATTTTATTGCACCTCTTATTCAGGGACTCAAATGATCGATACCCTTAATGTCCCGTTATAATGGATTTTCCTTTCACTTTTAGATAACTGCACTCAGTTAACCCTGCTCCCCCCTCCCTTCAGCATTTACAAGAAATGCTCTCTGTTCTACTAAATGCCACAAAAGGGGAGTGGAGGTTGGTTATGGCAGCAGTGGGAAACAGTTGTTCCAGGGTGGAGAGGCCTGGCTGGTCTTGGGAGTGTGGAAGGCCTTGTATTCCTCCTGGGAGAGACACAAAAATGAGTGTGAGGCAAAAGCAGGCAAAGTTGTCAAAGAATATGCTGGCAAAAAGCTAGAGCGGCACGCAACAAACTGTTCACGGCAACAATCCGGCAGGGAATGAGTACAGGCTGCAGGCTTTCATAGTGTGGCTGATGAGCAGGTTGCAGGTGTGGTTGATTGGAGATTGCTCCCAGCCGTGTAGAGCAGACCAGCAGGCAGGTGGGGGGAGAGAGAGACATACAGTAGAAACAAACACATACAAACACTAACAGGGGTTTCAGGGACGGGCAGTGATAGTCGGTCCGTTCTTCTATATGTCTGTCTTTGGTTTTCTAAGTGTTATTCGATCCATATGACAATAGAGATATGTGCATAAACAACAAAAACACTTGGGGTATAATGTTCGAACAATGTTATCATCAAACATTTTAAGAATGTTTTTAGAGGACGTTATCCTACCTTTCAGAAGTACATTCTAGGAACCAAAATAAAACTTCTCGATGAAACCATTCCTAGAACAATGAATGGTAACATTCTCAGAATGTTTTTAGAACCAACAATGTCTAGCTGGGAACTCAGACATGCCTAAGCAAACATGCAATATCATGAATTACATGCTTGTTTGTTTTTTTTAAAAGGAAAATGTTGTGACATCAGATATTTTTTAAACATCCTTTTCAAACAAATGCAACAAGTTTGTATTTTAAAGCGCACTACAAATAAATCTGACGTTGACCATGACCGTGTTAATATTTCGCATCACAGGAACGTTTTATAAAAAAAGAATAACCTCCTGAAAACATTATCCAAATGTTGCTTTCAAAATGTTCTTCTTTGGTTATCATGTAACATTGAGGGAATGTTTTATAAAGAACATCTTTAATGTGTTATCCCAACAACGTCCAAAACACATCCTTAGAATGTTGCAGGCAAAACGTTCCACCTTTGTTAACATATCACATTAAAGGAACATTTTATAAAACACTTTGTCATCTCAGACCTCAATAACATCCTGAAAACATTTTCAGAATGTTGCTTGGAGAATGTTCTTCATTTGTTATCATGTAACATTGAGGGAACGTTTTATAAAGAACATCTTTAATGTGTTACCCAACAACGTCCAAAACACATCCTTAGAATGTTGCAGTTAAAACAGTATGTCTTAGTTAACCTTAAACCTTATAGGAACATTATTTGAAAAAATAAACCTCCTAAAAAGGCTCTTTGAACATCAGATTAAAACGTTTCTTTAAAACCTTATTAGAACCTGTAGGTAATGTTAGCCAAAGTTGTGAGAACGTTCCCCGCTAGCTGGGATGTCTGTCGGTCTCAAATCTAAAGGGTGCAATAACGATTTTTATCCAATATGCATAAACAGCGGACACTGTTTATACGCAGCCCTCACAACACACGGCCAGATAGCTTATCTAACAGTTAGAACCTACATACGAGACGCAACCTTTATAGTCAGAAAAACGTGTGATTATTTTCGGATATTTTACACATATGATATTATGAATACTGTGGGTCTACATACCTTAGTGTGATTATAAGTGCATGTGAGTGAATATTGGCATGCATAAATTCGTTTTTATATGTCCTATTCATTGTCTCAATGCGCTCATACATCTTAAGAAGGTTATCACCAAACATTTCCAGAATGTTTTTAAAGAACGTTATCCTACCTTTCAGAAGAACATTCTGGGAACCAAACTAAAACGTCCTGCTGAAAACGTTTTAAGAACAGTAGGGCATAATGTTCTAACAATGTTATCAAAAACATCTTAAGAAGGTTATCAAAAACATCTTAAGAAGGTTATCACCAAACATTTCAAGAATGTTTTTAAAGAACGTTATCCTACCTTTCAGAAGAACATTCTGGGAACCAAAATAAAACGTCCCGCTGAAAACATTCCTAGAACAACGGATGGTAACAAACATTTCTAGCTGGGAACTCACAAATGCCACCGCAAACATGCAATATCTGCTTACAGCTTATCATGAATTACGTGCTTGTTTGTTTTTTTCAAAAGGAAAATATGGTGACATCAGATTTTTTTTAAAACATTATTTTCAAACAAATGCAACAAGTTTGTTTTTTAAAGTGCTCTAGAAATAAATCTGACCATGACCGTGTTAATATTTGCCATAACAGGAACGTTTTTATAAAAAAAAGAATAACATCCTGAAAACATTTTCAGAATGTTTCTTGGAGAATGTTCTTCATTTGTTATCATGTAACATTGAGGGAACGTTTTATAAAGAACATCTTTAATGTGTTACCCAACAACGTCCAAAACACATCCTTAGAATTTTGCAGGCAAAATGTTCCACCTTTGTTAACATATCACATTAAAGGAACGTTTTATAAAAACACTTTCTGTCATCTCAGGCCTCAATAACATCCTCAAAACATCCTCTGAATGTTGCAGTTAAAACGTTATGTCTTAGTTAACCTAAAACCTTATAGGAACATTATTTGAAAAAATAAACATCCTAAAAAGGTTCTTTGAACATCAGATGAAAACGTTTCTTTAAAACCTTATTAGAACTAATAGGTAACGTTAGCCAAAGTTGTGAGAACGTTCCCCGCTAGCTGGGGCTGCACTCACAAGCTTGGAAACTTTCAAAACCATCAACAGGGCTTTGAAATAAACAAGTTGTTCTTCAATGCCTTAG